CCGGGGAGCACCGGGAGCGCCTGGGGAGGGGGACCCTCTTCCTCCCCTTCCCTTCCCTTCCCCTCAGGTTTTCCCCGGGAAGAACCCCGGCCCCATCCCGGTGCTCCCGCCTGGGGGGTGCCGGGCGCCACCGGAATCGCCGAGGCCGGGGGCAGCTGGGGAGCCGGGCCCAGGCCGGGACAGCGCGGCGGAGCACGGTAACTGTTGCGGGGCGTCCGTAGGCACGGGGGGAGCCGTGCGAAAACACGGGGGGACTGTGCACAGATAGGGGGTAAACATGCACGGACACGGGGGAGATGTGCAAGGACACGGGTAAGCGTGTATGGACACGGGGGGACTGTGCACAGACACGGGTAAGCGTGTACGGGCACGGGGGAGATGAGCACGGACACTGGTAAACGTGCACGAACACGGGGACCCGTGCAAAAACACGAGGGGACTGTGCACGGACGTGGGTAAACGTGCACAGACACGGGTAAACGTGCAAGGACACGAGGGAACCGGGTACGGACACGGGGAACATTTGTGCGAACGGGGGGTTAATGTGCGGACACGGGGTAAATGTGCACGGACACGGGTAAACGTGGATGGGCACGGGGGAGATGTGCACGGACACGAGTAAACGTGCACGGACACGGGGGAACTGGGTACGAGCACGGGGAACATATGCGCGGACACGGGGTAAATGTGCGGACACGGGGTAAATGTGCATGGACACGGGGGAACCGTGCATGGACATGGGAAACATGTGCAGGGACACGGGGAAAATGTGCGAGGACACAGAGTAACTGTGCACGCACACTGTAAACGTGCGTGGGTACCGTGCAAGTGTGCACGGTCACAGTGTGAGCGTGCGACGTTCACACCGTAAATGCGCACGGACACAGCACCACCGGGTACAGGCGGTGTGAGTGTGCACGGACACGGCGTGAGTGTGCACGGAAACGGCACGAGTGTGCACGGACACGGCACGAGTGTGCACGGACACGGCGTGAACGTGGGCGGGCCGGGGGAGCGGCAGGCCCACGGTGTGGCGGTGCCCGGACACACGGACACGGGGCAGCCGCCCGTGGGCACAGTGTAACCGTTCACTGCTCCCCTCTCGTGGGGCGGTTGGCTTGGGATTTCGTTTGTTTGTTTGTTTCTTTGTTTGTTTGTTTTTCTTAAAGCAATCAGGGTAGCTGCACCCCGTACAGCGTATCCATTTATCCGATATGGCCGTGCGTAGACACGGGTGAATGTGCGTGGACAGACCGCAACTGCGCAGAGACACGGGTGAGTGCGTGTGGGACACACCGGTAACGGTGCACAGACACGAGTGAACGTGCACGGGCTCATTGCAGCCGTGCACATGTCACCCTGTGGGTGTGCAGAGATGCACCGTACCCGCGCACAGATTTATTCACTCATTGCTGCTGTGTGTGCACACGGGCACAGTGCAGCCGGTGCACAGCCGTGCACGGACACGAGTGGGTGTGCACCGACACGGTGCAGGCTGCACAGCCCGCAGGGTCCCCGCGGGGCTGCACTGCCGTGC